AGGGGAGAGAGAGAGAGAGAGAGAGAGAGAGAGAGAGAGAGAGAGAGAGAGAGAGAGAGAGAGAGAGATTTTATGTGGTCCTCCGTGTTGGCTTAGGGAAAAGGACGCTAATTGCCACGTGTCATGACAGCAAGAAGTCCAAGTCTGCCTCTGTTAGAATGTGTACCTTATTGTGCCTTCACGTCCAGGTACATCTGGACATCTCACAGTTGCAAGCGCGGAATGTCGGTGATGATACCCGGCGATCTCATCTTTTTCCTTTCGCCCCTCCTCTTTTTCCTTTTACCCCTCCTCTTTTTCCTTTCACCCCTCCTCTTTTTCGTTTACCCCTCCATCCCTTCTCCTTAGTACGTGATAGGTCCTCGCCGCACCAGTCACCAAATGTGAAAAGGAACAAAACAGTATCGCAAGTGCATCTTTCCACGTTCCAAGAGAAGATGCATTCTCCATTTTGTACATTTGGTGAGTAGTGCGGTTAGGCCTATTAAAAAATCTCATCTTTTCCCTTTTTTTTTTTTTATAATTCCTTTGGGAAAAGAATAACCACACACACACAAAAAAGTCCTTAAAAAAAAAATCTCATGTTTTTTGTCGCCATGACTATGGGAAAAAAAAAGAAAAAAAAAGAAAAAAAAGAAAAAAACAGAAAAAAAAAAAGACACAGAAAAGAAAGGGGGAAAAAAAAAGACACAAAAGAAAGGGGAAAAAAAGGAAATTGTTGGCCCCTGCTCCTCTTCCAATCCGGTGAAGGAGGTGAAAGATCAAACCTCAATTATAGGAAATCAGGTGTGAATCTCCCGTTACACCTTTTTTTTTCAATTTTTTCAGAAGAAAAAAGAAATGAAAAAAGGAGCAGACCCCCCCGGAGGCGTAATTGACAACCCTAATCTTCTTTTTATCCTTTTTTTTTTTTTTTTTTTTTTCCCTCCCTCCTCATTTTCATGCCGAGTGTGCATCAAGCATCTGTTTTCATCGGTTTTCCTAATTTAGAAATTACAAATATCCCACCCGTTGCTCCTCCGAAGGCAGCAGCTTAGTCGTCCTCCTTCTCTTCTCCGCCTCCCTCTCCTATTTCTCTCCTCTTCCGTAATTCCATTTCTGCCACCGTTTCCGCGTCCTTCCGCAATGCTTCTCATTTTCCACCACAACCAATCAATCAATCGATCAACCAACCAATCAATCAACCAATCAATCAATCTACGAGTCGCCATCTCGTTCCTCTCTGTCTCTCTCTCCCCTCTCTTCCGAGACCCTAGCTCCTCGCTCTCCTGGACTTCCCTCCTATTCCCTCCCCAATTCCCTTCCGTCACGTTGCTACGCTCTCTCCGTGCTATAGGAAAGCTCTCTCTCTCTCTCTCTTCTCCTATCTTGTCTCTGACTGCCTGCTTTACCGTTACTTTGTGGGTTTCTCGCCCTCCATCTCTTTCCCCTACTTTATAGCATCGGGATCGGGCTATCAGTATCTGAATGGCCCCGGATCGGGGTATCGGTATCTGAATGGGCCCCTTTTCCACGATCTTCCCTCCCTCCCCCCCTTTACCCTTCCCGTCCTAAATCTATTTCTCAGCTCACACGCGCAGCTGTCACACTCGCCATGTTGTGTTTGTTTTTCCTTTCCTCTATTATCCTCCTCTCCTCTCCTCTCCGTCCTTTTCCCCTCCCCCCATTTCTCACGCCCCTTCTCTCTCTCTCTTGCTTCTTGTCCTCTCTGTCTTTTGATTGCAGGTTGCGGCGGGGCCGGAGGTTGCTCTCCAGTTTCAAGGTATATATAAATATATATCGTCACATAAATATCAGAGCGCAAAAACGAAAATTCATTTTTTATCTTCTTCCTTACAACTCCCCCTGTTCAGAACCTCTTGCGTACAAGGCCGCCCACGTGGATATCTCTCTCTGCCTACGGTTTACCGGGCAGTTCTGTTTGTGACGATATATATTGTTTTTTCTCTCTTTTCACTTTTTGTTTTTCCTTTATTTCGGGGCATGAGAAATAATATTATTTTTTCGAACTTTATTTGTATATTCTCTATTATGTGAGATACACATATATAAATTTTCATGGCATTTGTCGCAGCCAAAAAGAAATGAAAAACCACCAAAGATGGCGGTGTCCAAAACGTGCTCGCCCACTCAATAATTTCATTCTCGTTTTATTTTTTGTAATTTTCATTATTATTATTTATGTTTAGTCTTTGATTTTTATTTCAAATTTGGTAAATAATTTGGATGTAACGTTTGAGGCAAATGTTGTTTAGTTTGTTCTTCTGTATAACATATTTTTTTCAGATTTTTGGAATTCTTTTTTTTTTTTTTTTGGGGGGGGGTTGGGGGGCCGAGGTCCCCATTCGGCCGAACGGCCGAACGCGTCGAGAGGGAGTGCCGAACGTTCGGGCGTTCGGGTTCGGGCGTTCGGCCCGTCCCGAACGCCGGCAACCCTGTACAAGATGTCGGTATCCCTATGGGTACAAACGCTGGTCCTGAGATTGCCAATCTTACACTCTATTGGGATAAGGCGCAGTACGTGGACAACCTGCAGCGTGTGGATCCCTCTGCTGCTCGCCAATATGCTTTTACATATCGGTTCATTGATGATGTTCTTACCTTTGATTGTCTGCCACCATCATCAGCCCATTATGGTCTTGAATGGAAGGAGACCACTGCGGCAGATGGCTCGTGCACCTTCTTAGGTGCGAAACTGCA